TTGAATACTGGGGGAAAAACAAAAAAAAAAAAAAAAGGTTTGTTAGTGGGAGTGATATGTAAGGTTGTTCTGCTCAGTTGAGATCCAGGCACATCGAGCCACAGCAAAGGCGCTCCCCCATGTCTGCCACATCTGTCCCTTTCCTCTGATATGGACACCCTGAGCAGTCCCTGCAAGATTCTCAGAGCTGATGTTTTTGGGTCCTTGTGCGGGTGCTATGCATCATCTACCCTTTCCCCTGCCTCATCTGCTCTGTCCTTGGCCCTGCACAGCTGCAAGCTGCAGCCTTCTATCCTAATGAGCAGGCACCAGAGGAGAAAGGTAACCTTAATGCAGGGAAATGGGAGTTTATTAAGCACCTGCTGTGTACATAGCCCAGGCTGGCCCAATTGAGGGTGGCCTCTTTGCAGTGCCAGCACTCTGGACCCTTTCCACCTGTGGACTACAGGGCAATTTGTCCTGGGTGTGGGTAGTGCTGGGAGCCCCTGCCATCCATCCCTTTGTGCTGGGCAGTACCCAGGATGTCTGTCAGTAGGTTTGTTCTTGGGAGCTGCAGGGCAGGAGTGGAACCAGAGGCCAAGTCTCTCTCTGAAGGAGAGCAGAGAAGAAAGGTAACAAGTATGTCAGGGTACACATAGAAGGTGCCAGGTGTGGTAGGAAGGAGGCAGGCAGTGAAGTATGGGTGGGAAGGAGGTAGTGAGGATGGTGGCCAGAGAAGGCCCCCAGGCCTCAGTGAAAGGTGATCAAGACTCAAGTCTGTAAGGGAAAGAGGAAGGGCAATCCAGGCAGAAACAACAAGAGCAAAGGGTCCTGTTCCAGTAAGAGGGTGTGTTGGGAGGGAAGGAGGGAGACCTTAGGGCACCTCGAGGGCAGAAGACCAGAGGGGTCAGGGGGCTTGAGAGACCTGGATTTCTGACACTCTTGTCAATTCTTCCCTAAGAAGCCATCTTTCCTATTCTAAAAAAAAGTGGTCAGATACATATAAAGAGAATTCATCACCTTAAAGTGTGTTGTTCAGTGATATTTACATAATCTACCATGTGCTGTCCTCTGAAAAGAAAGCCCGACTCTAAGAAGCATTGACTCACTTCTCCTCTGCTCTCTGTACTCATTTCCTGCTGCTCCCTACCCTCTGTCTGGTCACTGTCTGTCTCTAGTTTGTCCCCACAGACTTGCCTGCTTTGTACTTGGCTTCATATAGGTAGAATCATAGAGCATTTGTCTGGCTTGCCTCACTGAGCATCATGACAGCCCACACTGTCATCCCTCCTGCCCAGTGGATAGAACCCAGGGTTGATGTGTATTAGGCAGGTGCTTTGTCATGAAGCTACACCCCAATCCCGGTACATTCCTTTTCATCTCGTTTACTCATGCAGTAGCTAATGGACATTTGAATGCTTTCTACATTTGTCAGTTGCATTGCTATGGATACGCATGTACACATTAATTTGAAATACCTGATTTCAGTTATTTGGGGCATACACCAGTTCTATACGGAAAAATGATCTACTATAGCCGTACTTTGAGATTTGGATAGGTGAGTTTATTAAATATGTAACAAACAAAAAAGTCAAAGAACTAGTAGTTGGAAGCAGCAGCTAGACAGAAACAGCATCCAGCTTGCACAACTGGTGTAGCCTTATTAGCACATCAGACCAACTGGGGATGGAGTCTAGGGGTCCCTATGAGTTCTTTTAAAAAATGTTTTATCTATTTATTTTATGTGTATGAGTGCATTGCCTGCATATATGTGAGTGCACCCATGTTGTACAGTGCCGGAGGTCAGAAGAGGGCTTCGGATTCCCCTGGAACGGGAGTTAAGGGCGGTTCGTAGCTGCCATGTAGGTGCTGGGAATCAAACCCGGGCTCTCTGCAAAAGCAGCCAGTGCTCTAACCACTGAGCAATCTCTCCAGCCCCCCCATGAGTTCTTAAAAGAGTTTTGTTGTTATTAATTGTATCCATTCCAGAAGTTGAACCCAGAGCTTCATGTGGACTAGGCAAGTGCTCTACTACTGAGCTATGTCCTCAGCCTTTTTTTTTTTTTTAATTTTTATTTTGAGACAGGGTCACTAAATTGACTCAGTTGGTTTTGAACTCACCGTCTTCCAGCCTCAGCCTCCTGTTTGACTGGCTAGGCTTACAGGCATAGACTACTGGGCTTGGCATTTTACTTTGGATTTAGATCCCATGGCACTGGTTCTGTCTGAGGGGCATAGACACTGATGGAGATGTCATGTAACCTTGGTGAGTGATGTGTGCTGGTGGACAGGACCTGAACAGCCAGCGTGGTTTCGAGGGTTGCAAGGCCAGGCCTCTCTAGCAGATTACCATGGCTACACCCCCATTCCAGGCCCTGTTTTGTGAATAAGGAGATAGAAGCACAGAGTAGGAAAGTGCTGCACCCCAAATCACACAGCTGAGGCAGAACCCAAAGGGGGACTTCAGAGCCTCGTCCCCACCCTGTTTCTTTCTAGTCCAACCTTCCCAGAGCCTTTGCCTTGCCAGACCTTGTCACAGGGCCTCCTGAGTGGGTCCTGCCCGCACATCTGGGCTTTCCTCTGGCAGCCTGCTGCACATCCCAGATGTAGCATCTGCCTCCTTTCACCCCTCTGCACCAGTGCCTTTCTTGGTTGTCCTGCCTTCTGCTGCCCATCCTGCCTTTGTCAGTGTCACTGTGAGACCCTGTGCCCACCACCCCTTATCATTGTATCACCATCTCCCTGGCCCACACTACTTAGCCCCCTTTTCTCTTCTCCCCTGGTGCCCAGTCACAGGCAGCCCCACTCCCCTTCACTGATGTTTGGTCTCCGATGGATTTTTTTCCCCCCTCGGAGCAGTGCTGTCTGACAGAACTGTTGTGATGGGCACTTCCCAGATCTGCTGTGTCCAGCTATTGGCAACAGGACCAGCCAGCACTTGAAATATGCCCAGAGTAACTGAGGAGCAAGATTCTAATGAAACAATATACATTTTTGTTCTGTTTCTTTGAGACAGGGTATCAAGTAGCTGAGGCTAGCCTTGAACTCCTGATCCTTCTGCCTCCATCTTCCAAGCTGGGATTTATAGGCATGCACCACTATGCCCTCTTCAGCTTAAAATTGTCATTAATTCACAATTATAGTTGAGTATCTATGTCTTTGGGTTGTTTGTCCTCAGATCTCATCAACCATATGTGGAAAATATTCTAAAAGAATATTGCATCTGTCTTTTTAACAAACTTTCCTTCTTGTGTTATCTCCTAAACACTGTGACGTAAACTATTTTCAGAGCAGTAACACAGTATACGGTGTTACAGTCTAGACATGATTTATGCAGAAAGCTATACCCAGGTACGACACCATTTATACATGGGCCTGGAGCCCCAGTGGATTTTAGGACCTATAGAAGATCCAGGAAGTAGACCCCTATGGAAATCAAGGGACAACTATAAGTAACCACAGGCAGCTGTAGCTGCCAGCTGGTCAGCTTGAACATCTGTTACTACATCACTGCCTGGAGCAGAAGCCACAGCTGGACCAGGCAGATGCTACCAACCCAGCTCCCCCTCCCCCACAGCCTGCAAACCCCCAGAGCTGAGGCATGGTGGGCCACCTTCTCTCTGGGCACTGGTCTTGTTGACTGACTTCCACTCATGCTCTGGGTAATGTGTAAAATTAAGCCTCCAGCTTAGAAGTGCCTAGGTGTGTCCCAGTGGGTGCAATGTTGTGAGTGGCTAGAGGCTGTGGGAGATGTGCCAAGGAAGCAGGTGGGGTTTTGTGGGGAGGGTTTGGGGAGTACTGGGCATCTTCTGCAGAACTTGTCAGAGCCTTTAACATAGCTAGGTACATTGGGAATTCCCAAGAGGGAGGGGTCCTTAGCCACACTTCTGGAACTTTGCTACTGAGGCCTTAAGCTAGGGTCAGTTGCTGGGGAACTCTTGGAGAAACACCTTGTGGTTTTGTCCCTGTGTCTGACCTGGTGTGGCTGTTGAGTGAGGCATGGACGAAGTCTGTTGATCTCTGCTGTCATGTCTGGGGAGAGGGAAAGAAGGAGGGAGAGGCAATTGACTCAATTGCCTCTAGGAAATGATGGCTCCCTGCCCGCCAGGCCCCAGGCCTCTCCTTGAGTTTAGAGAATTTGAGGTGAGGTGGTCTAGGAGCTGAGGACTCACAGAGTTGTCCCTTGGGCATGTGGTTACCACACACATACACCCATGCATATCTGTGCACACACATGCTGTGGCTGTGTCCTGAGCTCCCTAGCCTTCCTGGCCCAAGCCATCCTTTCTCAGGCCTGATGGAGGTTCTGTGGGCACCTTTCCTTCCCTCCCTGGAGCAGTCTGAGGAACCTGCCCCCCTTAATCCACTGCATCAAAGGCTGAGATGAGCCTCCCTGTTGCCAGTTGGCCAGTGTTGCCTTGCTAGCCAGGAGGGGCAGCCACATAAGTGCCCCTGGCCACAAAGGCTGCCTGGGTGCCCAGGACTACAGCGGCCCCTCAGGCACAGGGCAATGCTGGCCTGCCCAGATGCTCATCCTTGACCTTTCACTACTGGCTCCTTCATGTTGGCTGGAGACCATGTTGCCCACTTCTGTGTGGGAGGTCTCCATGGTCCCAACATGTCCTCTGCCTGCTCCTTCCAGAAACCTCCCTCAGCTTGACCTCCTGAGCAAAACTTAGGGCTTCCCTCCTTTCCCCTGACCCTGGCTGCTCTGCATCATTGGCCCTCCATCCTCATCATGAGCTTGGTTCCCTGCCCTCTTCTGGTCTCCTGCCCCACCCTCTCTAGAACTCCTGGCTCACTGAGCCTTAGCCATGCCCTCTACCAGCTGCCCCAGGAACAGAGTAGAACTCAGCACCTTCCCCCAGCCTGCCCCAGGCTCCCTTCTCCAGGGGTGACACCATCATTCACACCTCTACCTCTGGCCCTTTTCTGAACCCCACCCTGCTTTTTAACACCTTTCCTTTTTACTCCCCAGGCCTTCAGTTATCTCCCCTTCCATCCTGTGGATGCTAAAGCAGGTGGTACCTTCTTGCCCCTTCCCCCCAGCTTCTCTGATGATAAATGTCAACCTGTGTTAGGAGAAAGGGCCCTACATGAACCCTGTGCCTACCCTTCCCCTGAGGCTTCTGTTCATAGCTTTCTGCTCTAAGTTGTCTTTTGGGCCTTACCCCTGAATCTGGGGGTCTCCTGCTCACTGTTCACTGCTTGTAGATGTTGCCTCCTCTACAAGGCCATCTCCCTTCACATGAAGGCCTGATTCTTCTCTTTCATATACTTGCTGGCTTGTTTGCCTTGGCTACAAGTGTCCCAGCACAGGACGTGATCCAAGCCTGTGTGCCTAGCAGGCACTAAGTACTTTGAAAGTGCTGACTAGCTCTGGGTATTGGGGCCAGGACCTTCTGGGCTGTGCCCAGGGTGGTGCAGAACAGGGACCAGCCAGATGCAGTTTCACAAGTGGCCGTTTCAGTGTTGTCTTGGAGCCAACTGCAGCTTTCATTTTGGGCACAAGGGGGCAGCAAAGTGCCTTGGAGCACTGACTTGAATCTTCATGGTGTCCAAGCTCAAAGGGGAGGCCCAAGGAGGGGGAGCCTCCGAACCCAGGCACTGCAGTGGGTTTGACGTCCTCCATCTCTTTCTGCAGTGGTCCTTCGTGGTTGCCACCATTACGGAGATTCCCCCTGTCATCTTCCTTCCCAACTTCCTTGTGCAGAGGAAGGTGCTCAGGCCCCTGAGGACCCAGACTGGAGGCACCATCATGGTAGGCTGGGTGGCGTGTATGGTTCTTCCCTCCTCCTCTGCCCTGCTGGGCCCTCCCCAAATGTTCCTTCCAGTGCAGCAAGAATGGCCTTTCTCCAAAGCTTTTCCCATCTGGAGACATTAGAATCCATTGTTTCTTCCCTCTAATTAGGGAAATTGTATCACTACATGTAGTATGTTGGATATATACACATATGTCCAACCCCACAAAAGTATTATACAACTAGAACTAGCCACTGACTGGACAGCTGACTGAGGGACATTTTGAGTCTGAATTGAGATCTCCCCCAGCCCTGGTCAGCACTCGCTGACCCTGCCAATTTCTCTATTACCACTTGCCCCACATGCCTGCAGGATTGTAGCCATCAGCCTTCTCTGTTTCTTTTCCCTTCAAAAGCTATGCTGAAATCCTCCTCAACTCACTTCACTTGAATTTCTTGTGCTTTCTTTGCAAAATCTCAAAGACTGTTGGCAGTCTGGTTCTTTTTCCCCAGTGGCTAGGCAAGTTTGTTGGTGGGCTGGGGGGTGCTATTCCCACACCAGAGCTTAAATTGGTGGCATGCTTGTGGGTGGGAGGCCTGAATCCTCACCCTCTGCTTGTCTCCCAAGGCAGGGAAGCTGGCTGTGGAACGAGGCTGGGCCATCAACGTTGGTGAGTGCTGGGGCTTTGAATGTTTGGCCTCATCTGCAAAGGATGTGGGGACAGAGAGGGACATGAAGACCCTCAGAGCCACCCTGAGTGGCTTGGAGAAGGTGTGCAACCTCCTCATTCCGAGGAGGGATGTACCAATGACTGTGGTATGGGTCTGTGTCTTGGAGCTCCCCAGCCATGCTTTTTATACTTTCAGAGATGGGGAGCTCCCTCACTCCCAGAGAGCTTTTGCCTTCCTCTGGACAGGTTCCCTGGGCAGGTCTGTACTGACTGAGTTGTTTCCATGTGACTTTTCTGCAAGACTCCATCTTTCTGGGGCCCAAGCCAGTGCATAGGGCTTGGTCATATGATGAATGGATGGGCCCAGAATCACTGTCACCTCAGGGGCCCTGAGAGCCAGTGTTTCCCAGCTCCTTGGGCTCTGTGTAGCACCTGCACATCTGTCTTCACAGCCCTTGACAGTGGCAGAGCTCCTTCCCAGGGGCCTCTCGCTAGCAGACATTGGACATAGGGAGAACCTGCTGACTTGTGTAGAGCCCCATAGCAGGCCCCCTGGTTTTTCGTGAACTTTGCATGGCCAGGAGCTATGTTTCATCCTGATTGATAATGCTGGGTACCCAGCATTAGGCCTGGTATAGCTATGGTGTTAGGATGCCATGTTTTACAAACATATGGGTAATTCATGCCCTATGTGTCCATAACAGGGTTCCCTTGGTGGCCCTTCCACTGTGGAACGTATAATGGCCTACTTGAAGTTAAAGAGTCTAAGTCCTGATCCAGCTTGAGTTTGAATCCTGGTTCTGCCATCTAGCTGTATGACCCTGGGCAAGTTGTTGACCCTCTCTGTGCTTGAGGCTGCTCACCTATAAAATGTGCTGAAGACAGTGCTCTGTTCTGGGCTTCAGGGATGCTTTAGCAAGCTGGGTGCCCTGTTAGGTGTCTCCAGGGGTCAGGGGTGGGAGAGGTGAGTCCCTCATCTGCAGGACTCAGGTCTCACACTATTAGGGGGAACGTGACCCAGGCCTCACATTGTGTATGTGGGGTGGCCTCCATTTCAAAAGCCTACAACCCAGGGTCTCCAGGGGTGCAGGGACTGTCCCAGTTTACCAGCCATCCTAGGAGAGGCAGGGAGAAGCACCTCTGTTGCCCAGATCAGAAAAGACTCCCAGGCTGTGTCTCAGGGTTGGGGGTGTCATATGTAAACCATGGTCAGCAGAGGCTGCCCTTCCCAGCCATCCTATCCACTCCCAGGAGAACCTGGGTCCAAAGAAAACCTGGCTTGGTTGGTGTGGGGGAGCCCCAGGGCAGCACAGTGGGATGGTGAGGTATGAGCCAATGTCTCCCTGAGATGTGATCCTTACTCTGCAGCCAGGTGACCGGGACACATCTACCTGCTGGCCTGGTGTGGTGACATGCCCACGTGCTCTGTTCACTTGCCTAGCCTGGAATCCCAACAGGGAGGGGACTGGGGGGAAGGGGTTGGAGGAACATCAACCTGACTCTGATCAGCACCACCATCTGCCTTTCTGCAGGTGGTGGCTTCCACCATTGCTCCAGTGACCGTGGCGGGGGCTTCTGTGCCTATGCAGACATCACGCTAGCTATCAAGGTGTGTCTCCGAGTCTGTGGTGCCTTGCCTCCAAAGTCCTCCCCAAAAGCCTCCCATAACCCACCACACATTCCAGGAAAGGGGAACACGGTGCATAGTGGGAAGGGGCTTCTGGAGCTGCTCAGCCAGTTAGGGCTCAAACTGGATCTGGAAGGCTTGTCTGACAGGAGGGAGTCATCACAGCCTCTCCTGTACAGGGTGCTACAAGGGCAGGCAGTTTTTAGGACTGGACAAGAAGGACTTGGCTGCAGGAGGAATGGGGAGGAGAGGAAGAGGGACAGGGAGGAGGTGGGGCCATGGTGACAACAGAGGTCAGCATAGCTGGCATTTACTCACATCCTACCCTTGTCTCAGCCTACATTCTTGACACCTCCCCTCACTGACTCTCGAGCATTACTGATGAGGAAACTGAGGCCCAGAGAAGGGAACTCACCCAGCTGGAAGGGCCTATGGAACCCCAGACTCCACCATGTGTTCTGTGCCTGATCTCATGCTGGGTTCAGGCTGAGGTGGTCTCTATTCCCACAGAGCATATAGGTGGGCTGTCAGAAGACCAGGCTATGAGGAGTAGGATGCCACAGGAGACCTTAGAGAGAAGGAGGGGAGGGAGGCCTCCCCTAGGAGGAAGTATGGGGCTCAACATTGTAGGATGAGGAAAATTGTGGGGAGTAATGTTCCAGGGCTATGGGGGCTCCTCCATAAAACCTTTCCAAGGGAATCCAGTGAGATCCAGGACTTGACAAGCCCCTTCAGGTCATCTGCCCTAGATCTTCCTTGATCCTCCCAGCCCATACCCCATCTCCCCTATGTGCACATGCCCCCTCCTCAGCCCTGCAACTCTTGCAGGCAAATGATGACCTGCCTGCTAACCTATAGGTCTGTGCCCTCCTGGGTCCTCTGGCCTGTCTGATCCTCATGCTTCCTCTCTCCCCATGGTAGTTCCTGTTTGAGAGAGTGGAGGGCATCTGCAGGGCCACCATCATTGACCTTGACGCCCATCAGGTGAGTGCCCTGTGGGAGCCTAGGCCCCAGCACCTCTCTGCTGTGGGCAAGTCCTCTCCCATGTCTTTTCAGCAGCCTCTATCACACAGCCCTATACTGTGGGGTCTCCTCCCTCTGGGTATGTCCTCAAGCTGGGCTTCAGCCACTTTACCTCCTGCTTTGCTCAGGGTGAAGGCTGAGGGTCTTGTCTTAGTCCTTCTACCCTGTACAACTCGGGACCCCAGGACCCCAGGGTGGCAGGTCCTCCTCACTGCTTCTCCTGCCTCCTGCTGACCACTCACACACCAAGCGGGTGGCCCTTCCTAAATGCCAACTCTCTCCCTATATTCTGCTATGGCTTACTGATGCTTGCTAGTTGCTAAGCTGAGCTGCTGAGTCTATGGACCCGCCCTGAGGGAAATACCATCTCAGGGTTTCCCAACCCTCTGAAAACTTGTTTTGTAGGGACACCTTCTTTGACCAGGAACATGGGGCTGGCTCAAGTCAGTCATGGTAGGGGATGAAACAAGCTCCCAAAGTCCCTCACACACCCCTGTTGCTGTGGCAGCATGCTAACTGGGACCCTGCTCCAAGTTCACAGGACCTGAACCAAGTCATATGTGCACAGCCCTTTGAAGATTGCTTCCAATGGCCTTGATCCCGTCATTGAACCTGCAGAGCTGATGGGTGACAGGGCCAGACTCTGTCCTGTATCATACAGATAGAGGCTGGGCACGTTCCAGGTCCTGTCAGAGTTCAAGGGGCTAGGTATGCTGCAGTGTATCTGGCTCTGATGGCTATGTGACACTACATCCCCAAGGGCAAGCTGGCCTTCTGTCAGGAGGGGGTTTCTGTGGTGAGTAGGGATCCTCCATTTCTGAGAACACCTGCCTGCAGATAGTTGTGTCCTCCCACAGGGCAATGGGCACGAGCGAGACTTCATGGGTGACAAGCGTGTATACATCATGGATGTTTACAACCGCCACATTTACCCTGGGGACCGCTTTGCCAAAGGTTGGTTTCCTTCAGTCCACCAAGACCACATGAACCTGTCCAGGGACATACAGGGGAGATGTTTTGGGGCTAAGCACCAGAAGGGAGAAGTAGAGAGACAGAGAGGGCACCACTGGTTCTACCTCTTAAAGGTCCAGCCACTTCCCAGTAGCACTACAGTCTGTGAACCAAGTCTTCAACAAATGGGCCCTTGGAGGACATTTTTTATTTATTTTATTTATTTATTTTTTGGTCTTTTTGAGACAGGGTCTCCCTGTAGCCCCAGCTGGCCTGAACTCACTATGTAGACCAGGCTGGCCTTGAACTCACAGAGATCTGCCTTCCTCTGCCTCCCAAGTGCTGGGATTACAGGCGTGTGCCACCATGCCTGGCCTTTGGAGGACATTTAAGATGCAAACATTCACGGTCCACCATTGGTTGCACCCAAGGGGCCAATTCTGAGCTGACTCTAGAATATTTGGAACTTGGGTTTGAGTGTGTGGTGGGTGTCCATTATGGGTAGGGTTTGAGGACATGGTCTTCAGGGACCCTGGGCCAAAGTGACCAGCTTTAAACTCCTATTTTCCCATGGGTACCCATTTGCCACGCAGCTTTGGTAAAATTATTTGGTAAAATTATTTGTGTCTCTCTCCAGAGGCCATCAGGCGGAAGGTAGAACTGGAGTGGGGCACGGAGGATGAGGAGTATCTGGACAAGGTGGAGAGGAATGTAAAGCGAGCCCTCCAAGAGCATCTGCCTGATGTGGTGGTGTACAACGCGGGCACTGATGTCCTCGAGGGGGACCGCCTTGGGGGGCTGTCCATCAGCCCAGCGGTGCGTCCTACCCTTGGGGGTCCACCTTGAGGGTTTGCCCATTAACTCAGGAATTGAGTCCTGACTTTGGGGGCCACCTTGAGGGCTGTCTATAAGTCCAGAGGCACATCCTGACCCTGAGGGCCCCCTTGAGGGATTTTCATTAGCCCAGGCATGTGTACTGACCCTGGGGGTGGGAAGTGAGGCAGGGAAGCCATGTTCTGAGGTTTCACAGCAGCAGAAAACATGGGCAGCCTGAATTCCAGAGGACACAGGCAGAAGCAGCAGCCATAAAAATCAGGGCCAGACTTGCAGTGATACTTTCTGACACCAGAGGAACCCAGGCCTATCTGAACTCACCCTTCCCATTCTCCCACAGGGCATTGTGAAGCGGGATGAACTGGTATTCCGGGTGGTCCGAGCTCATGAGATACCCATCCTCATGGTGACCTCGGGTGGGTACCAGAAGCGCACAGCCCGCATCATTGCTGACTCCATCCTCAATTTGCATGACCTGGGGCTCATTGGGCCTGAGTCTCCCAGTGTCTCGGCACAGAACTCAGACGCTCCTCTGCTTCCTTGTGTCATGCCCTGATGCCTGCCCACAGAGCATTACCACACCTGCCTCCCGCCCCGTCCACCCACCCGCCCTAGTGTTTTTTGCTGTGAAGACAGCTGCCAGTGAGTGTAGAGGGGCAGGAAGGGCAGGAGCCAGCCTTGCTGGCCGCTCCTCCACTCCCCACCAGGTGCCCAGGGATCTCTGGGCCTTGGGGTGGAAGAGCCAAGTCCCAGGAATGGTCCCATATGGGAGGCAGGCAGGTCACTAAGAGTGGGGAAGGATAACTTTGGCCTGGGCTATAGAGAGGGACCTCTGGGCTGGGTGGTCTGGTATCCAGGTCAGCTAGACGGGATGGCCCATCTGTGCCCTAGTTGGTTCTCTCCTTCCCTTCAGCCTTGGAAAGGCTCTCTCCTGGGTAGTGCTGCCCACGGGTCTGAGGAAAGCTGCTGGAGCCAGTTTCTAGGGGGGTTCTGGATTCCCAGCCTGCAGGCAGGAGTCCCTGGTCTAGATGTGGAGGCCTAGGGAAAGGGCATTCTCCAGCTGGGATTCCCCTCAATAAAGCAAGGTCCAGACCTGCTTTTACAGGTCCTTCTGTGATGATGGCAGGCATTGAGGATGCCCTAGGCCCCCTTTCGGTAGTAGTCCCTTCATTTCAGCATGGGAGCAAGTTTGAGGAACTTTAGCTTAGTAATAGGCCTTTGGCCTGGAGCTCCTAGGGAGCTGCTGACCTGGGCAGAAAAAGGCAGAGGAAGGGAAAGCCAGGGAAAGGTGAGGTCCAGCAGGCAGGAGTTGGGGTGGGGGCTAGTGGACAAGCTAGGTCCAAGGGAACAGAGACCCTAGTGGGGGCTCTCTGAAGAGAGGGCAGTGAGGCTCTTCCAGCCTGGAAGTCATGAGTATACTGGCTAGAAAGGCCCTTGGGCGGGCCGCAGTTTCCACTGGCCTTACCCAGAGTGCCCAGTTCCCATCTTTCCCTGTCTATGGCCCAAATGTATATCTACCCTCTGGCCTTTCTGCCCTGAAGGGGACAGTTAAGGCCCTCTAGGACCTGGGCAGGAGAGTATCTACTTTCAGCCAGTGACTGCCACCTTGACCATAGGCATAGAGGGCAGGGGGACATTGGCCAGCTGGGTTTTCCCTGCCCTGGATCTGCTCCACTCACAGGACTCATGTTCATTTCCATGTGGGGTGCCCCCATGGCCTCCATGGCATCCTTCACACTCCCTCTGCTGGAGGGGGTAGAGTGCCAAAGTCGCCTGTTGTCCAAACTGCTGACCTGGACCCAACCCTGGGGCACTAACAATACACTTTCATACTCCTCTGTCATGACCTCTCTGCATATGACTTGAGGTACCTTCTGGGATATCTTGGGGACTGGTGACAGGCACAGGTTGTCACTGTGGAGCTTCTGTCAGAGTGTCATACAGACTCTCGGTTGCTGCTGTATATTCTAAGGTGGACAGTCCTACCTTCTGAGGACCACGGGAAATAAAGATGCAAAATTGACAAAGCCGGAGGTGACCAGGACAGGCTGTTGGTTTTCTTCTGTCCTTGGAGGCCTGGGAACATCACAATTCCCATTTTAGCATATAGGGATGAGGCTCTGGAAGGTAGGTGATGAGTTTTCCCTAGGCCACATGTCTTGCAGGTGATGGAGCTGGATTGGAACCCAGGTCTTCCAGCTGATGAATTGTGGGGCTCATCCTTTGCAGGGGGTGAAGGGTGGAGCTTGTCAGAAGAGGCATGAGGCTTGGTGTCTCTGGGAATGAAGTCACAGGTAGGAGTCTGGGAAAGTGAAGGGTGGTGGGCAGGCAGAACTGGGCTAGGGATGGTGGTTCTGCATAGTGGGCAGGGCGGGCAGGGCAATGGCAGAAGGGTCATTCTGCTCTGTGATACAGTTGGAACACAGGGATATGTTGCCCTAGTGTGGGTTGCCATGTAGGGAGAGAAGGCAGAACCGTGTCAGCCTGACAGTGACTGGACCTGCTCCAGTGGTACTGCCAAATGATAACAGTGTGACCCCCCCTCAGGGGTCAGACATGGCACCAAGGAGGCAGGAGGATGTGAACAGATAAAGGCCAGCATTGACCAAGCTACACAAGATGCTAGGCCTTGGTCTAGTTATGGTGGGATTTACCTGAGAATTCTGTCCCTGTTTTACAGATGGAGAAACTGAGGCAGGAAGGGGTTAGTTCCTTGCTGAAAGCCCTGAAGTGGAAGAGTGGGAATTTGAACCAAGGGCTCAGCTTGAGTCTGCAAGCTGCCTCCTCGTTTGTAAAATGGGGGCTACAAAGTATTTGTCCAAATACCTCCGTGTGTGGGGTGTACATAAGACATTGTGTGTTCCATTGTGCCTGGTACCTGAGGAAGCAGAGTGCCCACTGGACTTGAGTTTTCAGATCTGATTGTATGGCCTGTGTATACTGCTGTGTGGACATTATACCCTGTTTCAGAAATCTCAGGGGAGGACTGGAGATATATCAGTTGGTAGAGTGCTTATTTGCATAAAGTCTTAGGTTCAATCCCCCAGCACTTCATAAACTGTATGAAGTGTATACCTGTAATCTCAGTATTCAGAACATGTAGACAGGAGGATCAGAAGTTCAATGTCAACCTTGTCTACGTACCAAGTTTGAGGCCATTCTGGGCTGCGTGAGGTCATCTCAAAACAGACAAAATACTAGGTTATTGGGGACCCGAACTGTAATCTCAGCACTCAGGAGGCTGAAGCAGGAACATTGTTAACAGCTCAAGGCAGGTCTGCGCTTCATGGTGAGTTCCAGGCCAGCTTGGGCTACTGATGAGAACCCGTCTTAGGAAAAAACAAAACCAAAAAACCACAAAGGAAACAATCCTAGGGGAACACAGTTTTGTAAAGGCTGATGGGGCTGCCATGCTTAAGAGCTGAGACTGGCAGGACGGGCCCTAGAAAACCATCACTACTGAGGCACCTCTGTTCAGTGGTCCAGTTGCCAAGCCCATGTGGGATTCTGCAAAATCCCAGGTAATCTGCCAAGCCCAGAGGAGCCCCTCCCCTGGCTTGGGGGGTGGAGCCCTCTGTGCCCAGAAGGTGAGCAGATTTCAGAGTCACACTCCCTGACTGGGAGTCCTACTGGCCTGAGCCTGGTTGTGGGGCCTTGGTTCTGGTAGCCTCCCTTTCCTTGGTTTAACTGTTAAACACTGGGCTTCCAGAAGAGCCAACTGTCAGATTTTAAAAGTACAAAAAGTTTCTACAGTAAATGGAGCAGGAGGCTGCAAGGTGCCTGCGGATTGCAGTGTGCAGGGGAGCAGAGGGTCCTGGAGACCACCTGTCCTTCCATTCCTGGCTCTGAGAGCATACTTGGCTCTGCAGCCAGACAGGCCTCTGGGGTGCAGAGAAGGAAGACCATCCTGAAGGCTGTGGACATCCTGGCTTTATGCTCTGCTGGACCCCACTTCTTGGGCTCCTTCCTTTATGTACTCTTGGGGACGGGGTTGCAGGAGGATGGGGTCTTGTTGCACATGCACTGTGCCAGATCTGGCCTGGTGGGATGAGGGACCCCAGAGCCACTATTCCTGGAGCCTCCTTGCCTGTTCCCAGTCTTGTTCATCCCAACAACCTTGGAGGTTCCACTGTCTAGTCTGGGAAACAGGCTCAGGGAGGCTGGCAGACAGTCTCTAAGGCTGCAGGTGGCTGGTTGAGTGGCAAAGCAGGACTTCACCACCAACTGGGTGCTTTTCTTGGTTCTGCTTGTCATTAAGGCCAGAGCAGAGAGTAGTCTTGAGCTGTGCTGGAGACTCAGAGGTGAGACTCTAGGAGAATGCAGAATCCAGACTTAGCCAGCCTGGGCTTGAATTCTGACCATACATTCCTGTAGCATAACTCCGTGCAGATTATATCCCCATACTGAGCCTTTCTCCTGTCTTTAATTAGGACTGTTGAGATAATGAAAGTGGGCCAGCAACAAAACAGGCATATAATGCATGTAAAATGGCTGCTTCCCTCTCCAATCTCTTCAACCCACAGAACAGGCCCTTCTAGGCAAGATTCCCAGGCCTAAACCCCCACCTCACACTCATTAAGCTAGTGCCTGGGGGCTGGCAAAGGCCTGGACATTTCATAGGACTGTGGCTGTGGGGACAGAGAGCTGGTCTCTGGGAAGTGAGAAACCTCTCTGAAACCTGTGGTAGATGTGTGTTCCAATCCAGATTTTAGTGACTGTGGGAAAATAGCGTTACCGTTTGTGCCTCAGTTTCCCCCTCTGTCAATGTAGGTGCTAATCCCTTTACTCCCAGGCTGGCTTGAGGGTAAAGGAGACCAGTAAAACAAAGCACCTTGGTCCCTTGATACCAGGCCTGGCTGGCAATCTCACTTAGAGCCCACTGCTTACGCTACTTGTCTTGAGAAGGTGGCCTCTTTTCAGAAGCAGGTGAGCATGCTGGGCATCAGGTGTCTCAAGTCCTGTTTTTGCCCCTTGGGCAAGTGATAGCCCTTGGTGCCTCAGCTTCCCCATCTGTAAAATGGGGTCATATAAGACCAGGCTCCCAGGTTGATGGATGAATTAATCTACTTAGGTACCAGAACTATACCCAACTGACACCAGCTCTTACTGTGACTAAAGGCCAGGGTTGCTGACAAAGTAAGTCACCAACTATCACTTCCACTGAGCCTGTGATGCAGAACTCAACCCCAATCTGATTTCCTGGATGCCTGGCCTTGTGCTGGTGCTGGCCCTGTGATGGGTGCTGGAGCCTGTGCTGGGTACCGGGTTCTGTGCTGAGTATTAGACTCTGCTTGGACCTGGCCCTATGCTGGGTGGTCTGTGCTGGTGCTGGGCTATCACTGGATGCTGACCATGTACTGCATGCTGGCCCTGTTATGGATGTTGGACCAGCTAGTCGCTGGTCCTGTGCTGGTGCTAGACCTCGCTGGTGCTAGACCTCACTGGTGCTCCACTGTGCTGGGTCCTGGCCCTGTCCTAGCTGCTGGCCCTGTTCTGGCTGTTGGTCCTCTGTGCTGGGGGTGCTGGGCCTGTGCTGGGTCCTGGCCCTCTTCTGGCTGCTGGCCCTGTGCTGGGTGCTAGAACTATGTTGGAAGCTGAGTCCTCTCTGGGTGCTGCCCTATGCTGGGTGCTGGCCCTGTGTACTGCGCCTGTGCTAGTGCTAGGCCCTCTCTGAGTGCTGGCCCTCACTAGTGCTGGGACACAGAATGTATCTGTTATCCCACTGAACTCCATGTTTCTTGAGTACAGGACTCCAGCTGCTGCATCTCGGGGGCTTCTGAGGACAGGACGGGGGTCAGCATGGGAAGGACCCTCAAGGCCCACATCCTTGTACCTCCATGCAAAATCAGGGAACTGAGACCCTGAGAGACAGCTTGAGCTCACTAGGTGACTGGTTCAGGGAGGCAGTGTACTTGGTGGTCAGATCCCAGATTTGTGCTCATAGCCACCTGGGCCTCAGTGGCTCCCTGGTGATGCCTGACTCACTGCAAGTGCTTAGCTACTACAATATTGACAAATAATGATCTGTTTGGAGCTTCAGGGGCATCTTTACAGACATTTGGAGCTAGAGGGGCTTCCTCAGCACTATCTGGAGATGTCACTGACGGAGTGATCTGGCTTTGCAGCACCCCCGAGTCCTGAGGTATATGAAGTGGCTTCATTCCCAGGCAACTGTGCTCTGCAGATGGGACAGGGTGGGGTTAGGTGTCCCACTGAGGGTCTCCTGGCTGGGATGGAAGCATTCCAGACTTCTCAGAACCTGGCTCCTAGCTGCTGTGCTAGTTCTTCCACCCCTGGGTGCCCTGGGGAGCATAAGCTCCCCTTACCCCATGAAGTATGTCAGTGGAGGGTTTGGACATTGGGGCCAGTCTGGCTAAGCAGCTTCTAGAACCTTCTCAGATCCTTCCCAACTCTGCTGTTCTCAGAGTATGTGCTAGCCTTAGAACCCTGAAGAAGTGGTGTTGTGTGAGGGTCTCATGCTGGGCAGTGGGGAGCTGGCAGGGCCCACCTGGAGGTCAATTCTCTACTCTCCAGCCAGGGCACAGCCCATTGGTCCATTGCCTCGGAAACCGATATGCAAGCAGCCAGACACAATTATGGCATATGTCTACAAGGCTATTTTGTCTAATATGCTAAAAGCCTTTGGAAATTCCCAGAACCCATCTGGTCCTAGTTACACCACAATATTGCTGTCTCTTCAGCTCACAGACGAGGGAACACTTTTATTTCTCCCTTTGTAGCTTAGGAATGTGCCTAAACACAAGCGGGCAGATGCCCAATTGGTTCCCCAGTTGCTTGATGGGGGCCACGCCTATCATTGTTTTGAAGGAGCTCTGCTCTTTCCCGAAGGTCCCCAGAATCTCCAGAATGCCTAGGGAGGGCAGATACTTCAAAGGTGGCTAATTGGCTCTGTGGTACACCAGATGTCTGCCTGTGACTAGTGCTTTATAAACCCAGATTTCTCATGGGCACTGATCACTTGAGCAGGTCCCTTGACTGATTCAAGCCTGCTCTGTAAAAGCCACCTGAAAGATGCTAAGC